TTTAGGAAGGAAAACAAAACCTTAAATGAAGAAAGAGCAGATTTTACACAACCTTTTCAGGCCATCATACACTAACTTAATTTATCCCCAAATGCTGATCTTTTCTCTGCAAGTTCAGCTGCACAAAGCTCTGGGTTTAGATTCTTCCGCTGTATTGTGTGACTTCCTGTGATAAGGATGGCTGCCACTGCTCCCAGGAGGACGAGGCTAATGTCTCGGCAGAACATGAGGGGCCACTGGAAACCACCAGACCACTGATATCATCTCAGGGGGTCATGGGCTGGAAAATTGTAGCATTCAAGGATCTGGGGGTGGGTGTGGGGGACACTGAGGATAGTGCTAACCTGTTTCCTATTGAGGCCATGATCTAAAAGCCTGCTGGCAGAATAATGTGTTCATTCCTCGTTGCATTCCCTGCAGTCTTCACAGCTGCTTTCATTTACCAGGTACAACAAAAAGATGGCGATTGGCTAGAGTCTCTCTGAGACACATTTGAGTCAGAGGTTTCATTCAGACGATGCAATTTATGCACGTGTAGCAGCTGAAGAAACAATATCTTATCTAACACATAGGGAACTGGAACAGACAATTTGTGTCACACTCTTTATAACAAACATCTCCTCACCTCCAGATTAACCCACCCTTAAAATGTTTATTGTAGAGGACGTTTCCAAGCAGCAGCACAAGGCTGCCTTGCTGAAGCTCAAGTGAAACGGGTGAAGACATGATCACTCAGGCTCACAAAAGTTATTTTATGGACCCCCTAATTCTTTGTGGATCTACATGAATAACCAGCTCCTGGAGTCAAATATCACAAGAGTCTGAAAGGTAAATTCAAAATATTTTATCAACTACCTGTGGTTTGCATCACTGTGCTAGTACTTTAGTTCTAAGGAATCTTTGTAATGCTTTTCTGTCAAACTACTGCCTGTGATACTCACAGGTAGAATGAAGGCAGAGAGCAGAGATCAAGGCACCATTTCAGTTTCTTGGCAGGTGTAATAAGATGAGGGACACATCTTAAAATTGTGAGTCTCTGTATTAATAAAATAAAAATATTTTGCCAGTTCATTCCAAGGGATACTACAGTAAATGAGAGATTTGTTCCCTTGAAATGTTGTACTGAGGTCTGCCTTGAAGTTCAGTCCTGACAGGTGGTGGCAACAGAACATAACTGTTTTCAGATAGGATTCTTCGCCTGGTTTCATGAGCAGTCAATTAAAAACTGAAGACATCTATGCAAGGACTGTAAAGTATGGACTGCTTCTCTATTTCTGGGATCTTCAACAAATCTTGAGATTGACAGAAATCCAGATAAAGTCTGAATGTGGTCAGAAAGCTCAGCATACAGCCTCTCCTGAACAAAAGAATCTGTACTTTCAGTTTGTATTCGCTGAATACATTCTAAGGTATTGCTAAAAAACTGTAAAATGTCATTTTCATTGCTACTTACTGCAAAAATGAAAAACTGCACTTGAAAACAATGCAAGAAGCCATCATGGTGTAGTTCTGATATAGCAAGCCAAGAAAGAAGCACAGATAGTCTTGCCCATGTATTTCCTAGTTTGATCGCTTCCTGTTAAGAGGAAGAACTTCCTGTGTAACAGTATACCTTGTGTTAAATATATGTGTATTTCTGAGTGAAAATATAAGTATGTGAGAGTGAAAATACATGTATGTAAAAGAAGAATATGTGTGTGTATGTGCAAGTAGAATATATGTATGTGCAAGTAGAATATATGTATGTGCAAGTAGAATATATGTATGTGCAAGTAGAATATATGTATGTGCGAGTAGAATATATGCATGTGAGAGTGAAAATGTATGTGTGTGAGACGTTGAGAATACATAATGTCTTATACGGCCCCTCATAAGGAACTGAGAATTCAGTTTTATTTCCTTTTCAAGCAAACTTTCTTCCATCTCAATCAAACTCTCACACAGACAACTATTCTCTCTCACGTTCACTATCATGCTGTTGCTTACACGACTATTCTCATTCACACAGACCATTAATATCTCTTACATATGCTATTATTCTGTTTCACATACACTATTAATCTCACATATTCTATCATAATTTAGAATATGATAGTTTATTACATATACAATTATTCCCTCTCATTTAGTGCTATATTTACACATTAAATAATAAATAAATTAGGCCAATCTATTTGAAACAGAAAATATCCACACAACAAATGTGAAAACTTTGTTTACATTGATGGTTTTGAGCAAATTACTATATAAAAAAAAGGCTGCAACATTACATAAATAATTACTCCAGAAATGATAGAGGAAACAATGCAATGAAATATGCTAATGATTTTAGGCACATAAAAAAACAATATCACTTGTTACTGGGACCATAGATGTGGATTAGTAGGATCTTACTGCACCTCCTAGTTGACTCAGTAGGCTGTTATCAAGTACCAGGCCTTTGTTATTTTCATTACAATAATAAAAGCAGAACATACCGGGGTAAGGTAGAAAAACTAATCTGCCCTGATCGCCTCCCTGTGCTGACATTTTTGCACCCATGGTGACTTTTGCTCCTCTAATAATTACTGTGGCTGCAATGGGATGATTCAACACATCATTAAAACTCTAAATAAAACAAAAGAACAACTTCAGAAATAAATACAAAGCAGTCCAAGACAAATATTACTTAATGCTTCCTAGTACTTATACTTAGTGACTTCTGTGTCCGTCCCAAGTCCGGAAAAATAGAGAGGGTTGCATCAGGAATGGCATCCGGTGTAAAAACCTGCCAAATCTACCATGCGAATCGTCAGTGTAGGAAACAGATGATTCACTGTGGCGACCCCTAATGGGAACAGCCGGATGTGGAACAACAACTTATACTTAATACATAAAAGTAGAATCCTTTGTACAAATGCCAAGAATACAGGCTTCACAGTGAGAAGGCTCATGAGGACTTTTGACTTCAACTCTCCTGAAAGGCCTGTCCCCTCTCTCGAGGTTTTCATTGTAGCACTTTATTCTTATCTTCTTCATCAGATTCTCCAGGAGGATGTTGATGTTCTCAGAGGTGATTTTGGGCTTCACCATTGGAGCTTCATGGCACACCTTGCAGTTCTGACGAAAGGGCCTTGCCTTGACAATGCCTTGCCCATTTGTCAGGTGCATGTGGAAAACAACCATCACCTTGTTGGAAGGCCAGCTTCTGGTACACTTGGTGCACTTGAACCTTGAAAATGATAGAGGACACATTTCTAAATTATAGCATATAAAATGGGAGAAATCAGATCTAATTATGGTATAGCTTTGTTGCGATTGTAAGGTTAAGTTAAAAAATTGTCTGAACTGGCTGTTTAACAAAGTGAGAACCAAGGGCACAGGTTTGGTTTCAACATCGGTAGGGACACAACAGCCAACACTTGTTGCACAAGTTGCTCCTGATGACCAAAACAGCACCTTGGTGTATGTGTGTTTGTGAGTTGGTGCTGCAGATGGCTGCCTCAGTTCTGTACTGGAGACAGATTCCTTGTTTGTGTAACATACTTGGCCCATAAAAGTGATTATCATTATCATAACTGATGCTGATGCCTTCCTATAATTCCAGACTATTCATTCATTCATTTTCTACCGCTAGTCCCTGAACGGGGTCAATCCCGGCCAGCAATCGGGCGAAGGCGGGGTACGCCCTGGACAGTTCAATTCCAGACTATTATAATTCATAATTAGAACCTCACTTGAAACACTGTTCCCTTATCAGCCTGCTCTACTCTTGCCTAAAATTCAACTTATATTTTGATACAGGCCTCTCCACCCATTTTATGTTTATTCCTGCTAGCAATGTGACTGCTAGCCTGTAAACAGCAGAAGACAGGGATAGCTTGCTAGCTGACACTAGCTAACATGGTTAACTAACATGAGGTGACATTTTTCACTATGTAAAGACTGGTGACATTAGGTAGCCAGCAGGTCTGCATTTTAAATCAATGTGCCTACTGGCTAATTAGTTAGTTATCTAGCCTATTAGCTACCTAAGCTCTGGATGGATTTTAAAGGAATTTTTAAATAAATGCAGGTCACATAAACACCACATGCACTTCATGCTTTACCAGTTTAAGACATTTCAGTACTTTTCAATGCAGTCAAGTGTCAGATATCAAATTGCTGTGCCCTAGTTTCACATTTCATACCAAGTAAACAGGTTTTGATTGTGTTAGTTACAGAAAATAACTTGGTTATAGTTTGGTTACCCAGGCACAGTGGAAGATAAATAAACAAACACAAGTTTGACGGGTTTCAGCAGCACCAAGCTGCCACAACAGTGCCAACACTGCCAGACTACCTTTGCTCCTGAAAGACATTAGAGCAGGTCAAGGGCCTTCCTAACTACCAAATAAAAAATTTCCCCCTCCCTTTCAGTCAGTCAAATGCTAGCATGTTGTCTTGCATATCAGATATGACTAATAATAATGACTGATATCTAATATGACTTCACTCTGAAGATAATGTCCACAGGTTTGCTTAAATATTGGTAGAGACATTTCTGTCCTCCAAAAATATTGGTAAGGAATATTTTTATCTGGAAAAAGAAATGAAATTGGATTTAAATGTCAGTTGGCTGACACAAATTCCTGACTATTTGGCTAGATAATGTTGTTAGAAAAGAGTACAAACTGTGAATTGGGGGAGAATGAGCCACTGTCACTTCCTGCATAATGAAACAACAATTATTTATCAGCAGTTGAAGACCTTTGGTTCTTTAGCCTGATCAACTGAGGTTAGAGTCAGCCAACAAGAATATTTCTCCTCCCAAAATAACTCAGACAAGCCTAAGTGTTGCTACAGTAAACTTAGCATTAACAAACATTTATTCCCTTAGACATTGTGTATCAAGTACACTTTAACTGATATCATGCTAATATACACTAAACTAACAACAGTGATTAAAAATAGTCCAGCACACTGACCTTGCAGTTGTGTTCCTGATGTACTGCTTCCATCCTGGGTTTGGGCTGTCAGGCACAATATTTTCATCAAACTCCAGATGCCAGGAGTCTCCTGGCTGGAGAGTGTTCGCTTTACTTTGGAAGATCTGTGTCCATTCCACTTGTGTCATCGTGTCAGTACCAGTGGTGCTGGGTGGCTGAAGAAGAGACAAAACTCAGACAGCTGATCTGTACAGTATACAGGCAACTGGGGAGAATGATTCATCCTCAAGCTTAGAAGCTTTGACTGTCAAAACAGAAACTGGTTTCCTTAAGTTTCAGTTTTAGCTTTATATGGTGAACCAGACGTCTGTTTTGAAAGGGCAGATAACAAACATCAGTAGTTGAATGTCTAATTACTAGATGTACAGTTCATACACAGGCATGCAGAGAAGGGAAAGCCCATGTAATGAAGATCTAACTTTAAGGTGCCTTATGATTATCATTGACTGGAAATCATTTATTCAGTTGAATGATCATTTTTATATTTACTGCCATACCACACTCATAAGAAATGTGATTAGTATGGATTAAGTAAAAGAAAAATTGTCTTTACTGTATGTATATTTTATTTCACAAAACTTATCAACTGGTAGAGGACTACCGGAGAAATGAAACTGATGTTCTTTATTTTCCATGCAACACTGCCCCCTTTATCTAATGTGAACCAAACCACAGTTAATACTTTTCTTTTCTTTTCTGTTCTGATGTACACATTTGCTTTATATCATATAATTCCTTTTTTAACCATGAGATGTCTTTTGTTTAACAGGAAACAAAAACACAGACTAATATTTACTGTATTTTTCAGAAAATAATATTGCAGAAGATGGCCTTGAAAATTCATTCCTTGATCTAGACTGTGTAAAATCATGATTAGATTAAATAAAATCTATAAAATCACACTTGATATCAAAATTGTGTCCTGGTGTCTGGGCTCTTTGGGGCAGTATTCATTTAGTGGCTGTTCACTTTGTGTTCAAAAGCAGAGACATCTTATTGTTTAAAATGAAAGAATAGCCTATATTCTGGAAATACTATTATCAGCTGATGAAGATCAGCGTCACATCGCCGCCTCTAGTGCAGCCTGTACATTTAACTAAACCAGTTAACCCGCCCTTGTCGCTACTTAGAAGCGACACATAACGCACAAAACGAACACAGTCCGATTGTCGGTGGTGGAAAAGGCCGGAAATGACGTTGGTTGGCGGAGAAGACAATCATCAATAAGGGCCTTGCGGAGTGGGCACGTCCGCAAGTCTTTTGAATTTTGAGAGCGACTGTATCATCGTTTGTTGAGTCCGCGGTAAACAGTTACCTCGCTATGTCCGTCGCTATAAACTCAGCGCGATCTTTGGATTCTCTTCCACATCGATTCAAATATGTTGGTTTGGCGCCAGGAAATTGCCAAATAACTCCAGAAGCAAATACAAAGCCCCTAAAAGTGCGTTTAATTTAACGCTGCGTCGTGCGCGCAGGAAAGCGGGGTTTGGAGTGTTCAAAAAGGTGTGACAGCCTAGAAGTCATCAGTCTAGCCACGCTTTGTTGTAGCCTAATGGCAGGTGTGCTGGTTCGTGTTTAGCTCATTAACTTCGTAATGTAACAAAGGCTGGTTATTAAGGTTAATGTGTTTGATTTACAGCACCATGAGTACTTATCTGCCAAGGCAGACCTGTGCAGTAAGCAACGTTCTATTTTCATTAGGTTTTTATATTTATCTGAAAGTTCATATAATGCTATACAAATACATTGAATTCCAGTGTACAGACTGTGTAGGCATAAAAATGTAAACAACTATCAAAATGCTGTTAATGAAGCACCATATAATTCCTAAGGACATTTTGTTAGTAAAATCTTAATTCATAAACATTTTGACTGAAATAAATGTGTAGTGAAAACTACAAATGTGAAGCTAAAGCATGTTTCTGCAGACCATTTGTTATTGGTGAAAGAGGGACAGGTTTAGATGCTGGGGCCATTATTTCATATTCCTGAGTCAAAAGTTGTTGTTGTTGTTCAGGATTCTTCTCTTCAGCACCAAGGACAGCACACATTGCTTCACTTATAAGCTCCTAGTTTCTTTTGCTGATAGGAAGTGACCAAAAATCCAGCAGGTTAATTTTGATTTTATGAGAACATAACATGCAATATACTGTGTTACTCAAGCTGTGCTAACCTAAATGCAATGTCTTCTGTTAATCATAGCAGTAATACATCATTTTGGTTTTACTGTAATAAACATTTTAAAAATTATGCTGCCGATGGCTGCCATTCCACATCTTTGGCAATGTGCAATATTAATAACCTGTAAACAAAGTCCCCAAACACATTTAAAAATTTGGTACAGTATTTCTTTGTGGGAAACAAACATGCATCATGAGACTAATGATTTTTGAATGTTAACTTCTCTTGGTAAATTTGCCTTGAGTAGAAATGCATTGTTATTGAATATCATATTTAACAGGTTCCTGTTGCTTTGCCATGGAATAATATTTCTACGTTTGTACCTTTACTAGTTGTAGCAGCTAGAATAGTGTGCTAAGCAATAAATATTTAAGAAAAAAAATGTGTGATTTGAGTTATGAGGGTCCTGTGCCCCAGTAGAGCTTTATGTCTAACAACGCCCCTGGTGCAATGACAATAAAGGCGATCTTATCTGGTCTTTATCTCCTTAACTTATTCACGATTTTAGAGTTGGAGTACTTGACAGCACTCTTATTTTGAAACAGGAAACTAGGAAACTACGTCGCTATGGTAACGGATACAATCCTGCAAAGATTAGCTTGTTAGCATCCGTCCGCCTTCTTTTTTTGATCCTTTATATTGTTCTCTCTACTACTGACATGTGATGGAGGGGTCAGATACATACCTCATACGACCTAATCATCAGCACAAGTGAGTTGGTTCAAAGTAGATAAATAATTTTATAGAAGGTAAACTTAGCTCTTAGTACTGGGTTTTTAGCGAGTCACTAAATGTTTACAGTGCAGCTAGCTAACAGCTCAACTTGTAGCTAGTAGATTAACCGCAGAGATTGGCGTAAGTCTAAATAATGTGTTTATAGTACATTTTCAGACGACCACATTTGGCGTCAGCACTGGACGTTTAACAGTTATACTAACGATAACCGATATTTTAAGCATTGTTCATTGGGAGGCCGGAAACACTCCATTAAGGTTTGTTATGTTTGTGTTATGCGTTCAACATATTGTGTTTATTCGTCTTTTAATTTAAGAGTAAGATTGATTTTTTTTAATATAAATCTGAGGAGTTCCTGTTAGGAAGCGAATAGTAACAGCATTTAATGCAGTTTATGTTAATGCTCATTTGGCAACCTTATTGTAAATGTGAACATAAGAATTGTGTTTTACCTCAAGACCAGAGATATAAATGAAAGTATTGTGGGTAAAACATAAACTATAGTTTGTGTTGTGATATGGTATGCCAAATTATGTGATTTATATGTGTCATTTTCCTCTACAATATAACATTTAAGCTACAGTATTTTCAAGATATTACTCATGTACCATGCGGACCATTCATATACAATAAATGGATACAAGCATCACCTTTTAGGAGATTTCTATAATTAGGCTACAGTATGTTGTGATTTCTGGCCGCTGTTACCACTGGAAGCTGATTAAAGTTAATTTCCTGCTTTGCTGATGACTGCAAAATATTATAGGTTCAAGCCAGCCATTGTGAAAGAGTATATTCATGAAATTGTGAGAGAGCGACTGTCTGGGGTGCGATACAACCCAGAGGAGGTCCCTGAGCTGTCCCATTCACTGGCAGACTGCATTAAGGATAAAGTGAAGAGTGAGTGATGCTTTCTCCCTGTCTTGTGATCTTCTCATAAGGGAAGAGTAGCCAAATACTGAACTAAATATTGTCCGGATGAGTATGTTTGCACGTTTACTGGTGTGTGCTGTTAAGCTCCTTTCCCTTCCTAAATAGATGCGGGATTTGACCGATATAAGCTTGTTGTGCAGGTGGTCATTGGAGAACAACGAGGACAGGGAGTCAAGTGAGTGATTATTTTGTGCTGGTAAAAAACAAACAAACAGCTGTTACAGTTTATAAAACCACTCTATTTTAGTAGTATATATTTTGTCAAGCTATTCTGTCACTTATTTCATTTTCCAGGATGTCTTCCAGGTGTTTGTGGGACGCTGACACAGACAATTATGCTGAGGATGTTTTCATGAATGTAGGTACCTTTTGTTGTGTTCACTCAGATGTGAGAGAGGGGGGAAACATGCCTAGCAAAGACTTTATATCTATATATACAGTATATATATATATATGTATGTATGTATGTATGTATGTATGTATACATATACACAAATTAGGCTAACTGTTTTCTTGCCTCCATAGGACAGCTTGTTCTGTGTGGTGGCAGTTTTCGGAAGCTATTACTACTGAGGATGAGATGATGGATGACAGAATTCTTTCAGATGCAAAGATGTGAGGTGAACATACAAATGAGACTGCTCACTGTCAGCATTCTTGGTCAATGGTGCATTGATCTGAATGAACTATGTATGCAATTGCTGCATCTTGAGATCAACACAGATGATATCCACAGCAGAGGAGATGGATATCGGTGTTGATAATTTAGTAACTTTGAAATGGAGAATTTCACCTGTGTTTTCCTAGATACTTATTAAAGACTGAAGCCTCTTTTTGTACTGTTTGCACTTTTCATAAGCTTTTTGGTCACTGTTTTGGTCCACACATATAACCATTGGCAGCTGTTGTCAGCAGACATGCTCACACAAGCTGAATACAGACACACAATACAGTAGGTCACATGAAAGGTCGCATCAGCTGTGTAACTTCTTGTCTGATGTGTCAGCATATGCATTTTAAGATCAAAGTGGAAATAGTAGTAGTGGTAGTATTTTCTTGTACACACTGACATGAGATGTTCCTGTTTAAAAATTACTGATACTGTGATGTCTAGTCAAGCCAACCTTAATATGCTCTGTCAAAAAAAGAAAAATCAGCGACCACAAGAAGTAGGAAAATTTAATGGCATTTCAAACTGTTTGTACAGAATGAAATGAGAGCTGTCAAAGCACAGCCAGAGAGGGGCCGCTGTGGCTTTCAGTATAAGTGTAACTGCTTTCTCTTGAGGATAAAGTGAATTCACTAGCCTTCAATGAATCAGTTTAAATCACCTGCTATAGAGGATTTCACCAGAATTAGTGCCATTATGGTTTTTTTTATTTTTTTTTTATATATCTTACTTATTCAGCAATAATACTGTCAGTTTATTCCACCAGATCTATAAAATATAGATCTGTGTGCAGATCTATATTTATACACATTATAGTGAAGCCTGGAAAGTTGCTATCTGGTACACACAGTTACAAAGTTCGTCTTAATCAGAGACAGTTTCACTTTTGCTTTTGTGTGATTTGGTTGTAATTTTAAAACACATTGTTCCATTGACAAGATATTAGGACTTAAAGAGTTGTTCTGTGCCAGAGGTGATTGCCTTATTAAACTGTTTCAGTTTACTCAGTTTTGTTGTAAGGCTGGCTATAGACCTCAGCATTATCACAAACAAACCTTTCCTTCAGATACACTATTTGCAACTACTGCCAGCTATCTACAAAAGATAATAGAGTCCAATAGTTAAAAATTTCCCTCTTCTTTATAATTTGTTGCTGAAATTGATACATTGGTTTTCACATTTAGTTCATTTTTTAGATATTTATGTTATGTTTTGGTAATTAGTCTTGGGACTCTTATTAATTTCAGCAAACCAGCCCCCCCATGTGACAACCAGATGCTTATAAGACTAATGAGACAGAAGTAAGCAGTTGAACTGATCGAGCGTAGCTGAATCAATTAGTCAAATGACTCATAATCTGATCACATACATGCCAAATTTAGTGTTGCTGCTCTATTTCTGGCTGCAAAGCACAGCTGAATTGACTGAATTTCTAGAAGCTCAAACACATAGAGGCAGACAGGCACTTACACTTATTATTTTGGGACTTGGATGTAAATGCCGAATTTGGAGAAAGCTTTCTGCACTATTTTTGTATATTGTATACTGTAATTTGTATATTTTTATATTTAGATTTGGTATTTGTGGTGCTTTTTGTTACGTGAACATAACGTGTTAATTTGAAAATGAGACCGACAGATAAGGCACACAGCTGTTATTGAGTTAGTTCAATTAATTTTCATCTAAAGAACTTAAATGACTTAATGTTTACATTTTTTGTTCACCTCATTGAAGCTTCTGCTGTTTTCCCACATCCCTTTCATGCAACTCATCTTCCAGCACAAAACACAAAATAGATGGAACTAACATCAAATATATTACTAGAGTTGCTCTGAGAATGATTTTGGATGTATGCATGTTTCCAGAAACAATTATAAAAAGCTTTGATCATAAGATAAAACCCTTTTTGACTGGGCAGTGGTCATCATAACATACCAGAGGAAAGTAATCTTTTTTTTTTTTTTTTTTGAAAAAATGAAATCCACTAATTATTGGTTTTTATATTGAATATTAAAATTCAGTCATATGAATGAAAATAGCATTTTCAAAAAAAAAAAAAAGAAAAATCCCCCACAGTTTGTCACATTACACTGAGTGAGTCTAACATGTAGCATAAACAGCAGGTATTTGCATTTTTGCTAAAATTTTCTTCAGGTTTTCACACATTCTAGAGGGTTTATTGTAAAATCTGGTGCTCAATTTTCTTCTTGCAGTTGGATGCTCACCAAAAATTGATTATACCATATTTTATAGAGATGAACATCAGTATCAGGAAATTAACAATATACAGTATAAACCAAGGCCTAAAAGCTCAATTTGACAGCCTGTTCTAATTCAGGTGTTCTGCTGCTTGACTGTGTTTTTAGAGAGTAAACTGTAACCTCACACTGTTCCTTATCCCTTTCAGCAGTCTATGATAAACATATGCCTGAACGTTTTCTGAATATGTCTTTGCAGTTTGTTGCACAGCAGCTTTAACAATTTAAGCACATGCTTTGATGATGTTTTTTCATGGCAGTGCACGATACCAGATGCTGACTCTTGGGTGTTTGCTACTCAGGGGACTGCGATCGTGGCAGCTTCTTCAAACCCTTTGTTATACTTTGTTCTCTCGGCTCTATAAATACACAGGGAGAATATTATGACTTGCTTTGCTTAAGTGGCTTAAACAGATAAGTTACTGACTTGTGTCTGTCATTCCTGTTCTAAGTTGGTGACCTGTTTTCTAATACTGTATTTGCAAAGTACATGGACAGGTTAGTACCTGTACCATAAACACACAGCAGGTAGTTTGCATCTATATAATGTTGTCCTCTCCAGCTACATACTGTACATAAGAGGGTCAGAATATTAGGAACATCTCTGAATATATTATAGTCCAGTACAACACCACCTTTAACTATGACCTCAATAATACATAATTGAATTTAAACATTTATGACAATTTTCACTAAAAGCTGAAACATTTTGAGCTTCTTAAACACAGATGTTGGAGCTGAAGTGTTGCATTGAAGTGCATACAGTTGTACAGTTGTGTCTATTAAAATGGATGGTCAGTGTATACGGGTTGTAATTATGGTTCCCCTTATTTTGTCTGATGGTTTGTAAATAATTTATGTGGTTTCAGTGGCTTTGTTGTGAATGGTTTGTCAGGACAAAGACTGCGACAGAACTTGGCACCTTGACACTGAAATGTTGAAAGCAGGACAGGATAAATTGACTCATTTCATGATTCAGAGACTTCTCTGTGTGACCCCAACACAGTATTTTGCCACCTTTAGCTTTAGCCGACCCTTCCCTTGCCTCACTCTTTTGTTTTTGATTACTCCTGTCCACGGTGCTGCCTTAGTTCATATTTACAGTAGTTGAAAATTCTTTTGACAGTACATGAATGGTGCCCAGAAATGTATACAGTTTAGGTATTGTCCACCTTATTTTCACCTGAGATCTCAAACAAGATCAGCAGGCTTCTTTCCACAACCTGAGGATGTATTGTTCTTATGAGATAGCATAATTTCACCTCAGAGTTATGTTTTTGTTTGTGTCTACAAGTCAAGGCTGCATGTCTCTATTCGCAGTCAGCTATTACAGCTGAGAGTTGTGCCTGAGTTCAATAAAAACATGAAAGATCATGACTGTTTATGTAGAAAACCAGGAAATTGCAAACAGTGCCATTCCTTTTTCTTGCAACTGTACTTTATCTCATGAGCTCATGGGGATGGTAGATAAATGTACAATGCACAACTAGATTGTAAACTAATAAAATAATCAGATTAATTTGACATTGCTTATTTTATAATTGCTGTGTACTGAACCATGTAATGTCCTTATATGTGTCCGTGTTGAGACAGGACAGCTTTAATAGTACCCTTAAAATTAATCATTATTAAATTGAGTATTTTAGGTCACGATCTTGTTGGCAGACCACACCTTTGCATCATCCTTGTTAAATGTGAGCTCTCCATACAAACAAACATAACAGCACATCCATCCCTCCGCTTAGTAGCAAAAGAAAGGGTTACTGTGGGTTCCTGAGGGCTGCATGTCTATTACAAAACAATTTTCAGCTCTTTAGCTTTCAATTAAACATGTGAATAAACAGAACATGAATGCAGAATGAGAGGTTCTGCTGAGGGTCATCACTCTAATTAGAGGAAAGCCTCAAGTGTAGAGAAATGATTTCATTCATTTATTCTGTATTCATAAAAGAACCAAATACCCTTCTTTAAGTAGGCGTAAAGGGTCAATGTTTTTACACTGTTACTGAGTACAGTGCTTTTATTTGCAGAAATTAATGATGTCCTTGAGTGCAAATGGTCTTTTTTTGGTTTTATGTCAGCCTTATTACTTCTTAATAAGGTCTGATTTTGTGTACTGTAACATTTATATTTTCTGGCTAGGCTTCATATTCATTCCTGGATAGGACTAACTTTACTGTGACTGCTATATATGGCCATGATTAGTGCTTCAAACCCACAACCACAGTGATTAATAGCAGCCACAAAATAAGAGAAGGCCAATGTGGATTGTGCATTACTTTTTCAGCTGATATCCAAGAAACAGACATCTGTTTAGGTACACCAGGCTCCTGAAGATGTCTCCTCCTTATTGAATATTATATAGTCATGTATGCTCTTACCATTTACAAAATACTTTTCAATTCTTTAGCTTTCAATGGGGACATGTGAATAAAAAGAACATTAAATGCAGCATGAGAGGTTCTGCTGAGGGTCATCACTCTAATTAGAGGAGAGCTTCAAGTGTAGAGAAATTATTTGATTTATTCGGTATTAACACCAGAACCAAATGCCCTTGTCTAAGTAGGTGTAGAGGGTCAGTGTTTTTACACATTTGCTGTATACTGTGCTTTTATTTACTGAAAATAATGATGTCCTTGAATGTGTAGGGTTTATTACTCACCTCCCCCTGCAATGTTAGTCTCATCTGAATGCAGCTAAAGACATACAGCAGGGGATATTTACTAAACCTGCCGCACACAGGTGGACTGAGAGTGATAGTAGAAAAGAGTGTGTGTACTGCAATATAACGTTAACACTGCTAAAGAAATCAACAAACACATTTTGTAACTGCAATCACATAGTCTTCTGCCAGTCAAATCATCTTTTATTTGTTCAGTAGCTTAAGCATGGTTTGAAATGAAAGCTTGTGCAAGTCCTTCCCATTCTCCTCTGGCGAGTGTTGTGATTTACAAACATCATTTCTCTCCTCAGACATGTTCTTAAAGCCAACAACATTTCAGATGACTAACAGCTGCCATGCTGACAGCAGGGCCACACATTTTACAACTGCTTTCTCCTGATGTTTAATCTCTGCCGCAGTTGTGGGAAATCAGGCGCTGAGGGTATTTGTAGAAATTTCCCTTCTCTCCTCTGTGATTTTTCCTGTGGTGCCACTTTTCTTCTGTTTTTCCAGTGCAAAGCCCTACTGTGACTCATTAGTATTTTCAGAATGTTGCTGTTCAAATTCTGCCACAGTTACCCAGGGCATTGCTGCAAGCATGTACTTTTTGATTCACTGTGCTTCACCTGGGTTTACACCAGAGAGAAGAACTCATTGTCTGTGCCTCCTGCAATACATCAGCCCATCCTCAAATCCTTAAGCTCTTTGCCCCCGGTTTTTCCAGTACTTTGGCAAACAGTCCACAAAACATGGCAGGTTTAGGACCAAATGACATGTCACTGTACAGCCATATTTTTGAGCAAAAACATTATCATTATGACATGCAGTGCAGTGGTTGAAGATGTTCTCACATCTTTTACTTGAGTAAAGTACCAATACCACAACATAAAAACACAAGTAAAAATGCTGCATTCACAGTTCTGCTTAGTAAAAGTACAGAAGAATAGTAAATTACAGTTAAACTATCAAAAGTAAATGTACTCTACAATAAAAAAAAAAAAACCCTTGTGACTGATGATACTACTGTATGTTGCACTGTACTGACAATATTACTGTAGATTATTACAAATACATCAATATTTTTTAACTATAGTTACTGTAGGTAAAAGTTCACAACAAATCAGCTGTACTTTTTTAAATAAGCAAATCATCACTATGCCATTAGCTATATACACAACTCATCTATTGTTTGTGATGTGTTACTGGTTGTGATGAACAGTGCAGACACTAGGATATACTTGTGAGCTTTATACTTATGGTCATGTTAGTGTGACATTTTGGTTCCTTTTAGCTTATATAAAGACATTAAGCTAAGTTCAAATTTTCCTTTTCGAAGGTTGTAATAATCACTGGAAAGCATTTAAAAAGATTGTTTCTTGCATCATTTAAAGCTCATGCAACACTTTATTTTACTTCAACACAAAAGCATGCATGTGTGTTATCTGAACAAAGTGATTTCTGAATCTATACTGTACTACACCACTAACTGAATATAGGTACCTAAAATGTGGTTTACTCCTACATGACAGACTGTAATAAAACATTCACTTTTATATCATTTTATATCCATCCATCTGTTTTGATCTATTTTTTACAGTTTTTAAGCTACCTGTCTAGTTTATGTAGATGCTCTAACTTTTTGTCTTTATTATTACACATGCAATCTCATGCCAAGACCCTGTCATAATGTTTCACATATTTTCACATTAGAATATATATGTATATGTATATATGAAAGACTTTCCAACCTCTTCTTGTTGGGGAGAAAAATATGTATTCATTGGTCCATCTGGTTTGTCTCAGTTTGTCAAAAACAAGTTATAAACTGTACTGCCATCATAATAACATGCATTATTTTCCCAACTTTGCCTTTACAAAAATGTTTTTATCTAAATCACTTTTGTACAATGCAGTTTTGTTATTATCCATGCTAGTAAACTGAAGCGGACATTCTCAGTTGTCTCATATGGTCTCATACAATAAGACCATGAACACCTGATTATCAATGTGCACAGGACTCGAAAGTCACCGAGGCTGAAAGTGTTTAATAAAAAACAACATAAAATCGAAACTATTTCCAGAAAATAACTGCTAAACAAATGGTAAAAGAATTTGAGATCTAGGATTTCAAATTAAATAAACATCTATAATCTATAATTACCTATGTGAATCATAAGTCACTATGAAGTGACTGGGTGCTGCTATCACTCACTACAAGCAGTGGGAGTAGAAATGGTATGATCCATTTTAGGGGTGAGTGATATATTAGATGCTTCTTCAGGCTGTGAATTAAAATTATGAAATGATAAAAAAATCAGCTTGTAATTGATGTAACAACAACTGTTGTTTTTACTTTCTTTGGCAGGGTTGAAGTCTCCCCACCCCCTCACCTCCCAATATTCCCCGTAAATTTTTAAAATGAGAAACTTGTCTCATCTTTTGTCCTCACTTCTCCATCTTCAGCCTCGGCTTCAACAACAGCAGTTCCATTACTGAGCGGTGCATCACTCAGGGTGCTGCGCAGCGTCACCCGGGTGACACTAAGTGAGTGTTTTCTGGGAGTGACGTGATGTTGCCCATGGCACATGACCTCCTTGAACATTTCTCTGAATCGGGTGGACATGAGGTTGTACAGGATTGGGTTTACTGCTGAGCTGAGGTAGAAAAACACTCCAGAGATGATGTGCACATATTTGAAGATTTCCAGGTGGCTATCAGTCCAGTCATTGATGAAACTCCACATGAGGCGGTCAGTGTGAAACGGGGCCCAGCAGATTCCAAAAACCACCACTAAAGCAACTGATCAAACAGCAAAAGAAAGGAAAAGATAATCAGAGACGCAGTGAACAGCAGCACACTGATTGATGTTGGCTACATGCTGGTTCATTTAAATTATTCCTCTGGGGGCTTTGTGTCAGAATTGCAGAGAATCTCTCAGAATTACACAGCCTTTGATGAAGTTTTGTACATCAGTGTTAAGTGCATTTTTATATTCATAAGTGCAAAACGCTTCCTTGAAATCCTTGTTTATATCATTATATGAGCTTAACACTTCACATTTTCACCTCTCATTGTGGTTTGAAAGGTAATTGTACTGGAGGGCAGACATTATTCTGTCAGAGTTGTTGGATGTATTATTGTGGCTTTTGTAAAAGACTGCGAAAATGTAAACTTTTAACTTTTGTTATATGGAAATGTACTGCTCCCTGCAAGCTCTTTCAAACTTGTACATTAGAGATTCAGTTTCACTCTGCCTTTACATTTCCAAGTAAGTTAGTTTTTCAAAGTCAAGGTTTGATTTTTATTTGAACAGAACCTACGGCCATTAATTAAACTAATCAATGAATCATTTGTAACACACTGGATTGTCACTTGTCTCTTCTAGTTTTAAAACTGGAGAATGATGGACGTGGAAAATCTTACTGAAATCAGTTTTCATAAATCCCTTTCAGTCATGCACCCCATGCCCAGGAATTTGCCTGCTGTTTCACGTCTAGACATCATGTCTGAGCAACCCCCCGCACTGTATGGCCAGCAAAGCGCTACTGACAATTTTACCCGGTTGGACTTAGTCAAATAATGAGCTACGTCTCACTGGCTACAGATTGTAACATCACTAGCTTGTACAATTTTTATATTTAACTGGTACAGGGAAGATATGGTTTAGCAGTGTGAGCTCATGCAGAATGGCTGGTAATTGGACCAACATGGAAATCAGAGAACTGTTCATCCTCCGTGCAAAGGAAGAAAACCAGATAAACAGTAAACGTGGTTGCTTTGTGTTTCTCTTGTGTGATGTTGGATATCACGTGAAAGCTGTGGCTCTACCGGGCTAGGTCCTGCTATGTATGAACAGAGCCTTGCCAGGGATTTTGTACACAAATTCCCGGCTACCATGTTTGAAAGGGGCTATAGACCTTTGATGTAAGAAATAGGATATGGTGTTGAATCATTTGTCACACAGGTAGTGCTCCTAAGCTTTGAGAGGTTCAGAGGGTGGTGATCTGTGTCAAGGTGAGCATTGTCCTTTTATATTTGTACGGTTAAGCACATTTTCTCCTAGTATCTTACACAAGGTTGCTACTGCTTATTTTTTAGTAACTGGTTCTGGTGCCATCATTAGATATAATTACCTGACAGAGAACAGATGTCAGGTGTGACCGGTTTCTGAATTTTGAGACTCCTTTGGGGTCACAGTTTATTTATTTATGGTTGCAACTAATGATAATTTTTATTACTGTTTAATAAGGTGTGTCATATCAACTGACTGTTTAGCACCACATTTATTTGTTTGTTTTTTTTCCCTCTTCTCTACCAGGGTTTGTGTGTTTCCAGCTCTATTCTTGCTCTTTTGCGCACCTACTGTTGACATCTGTTCTGGTTGTGCAGAAGCGGCACCATAATGTATTGTGCAAGATCAACGCTCACACTGTGCAGTTGAAACACAAGCGAGCAGCACGGGTCAGTAGCTGCTGGCCTGGGTGCAGGAAGGTTTCTGGCGGCATTGGAAAGACAGCGGAAGTGTCACATGAACAGATTTACTTACTGGTGAGCTACTGTGGTCCTACAGCTCCAGGTGAGAATAAAGGAAAAGACTGTTAGTAAAAAAAACAGCTATGGCTTTAACAAGAGTTTGACACTCACATAGCATCTTAGTGACCTGCCTGCGGCGGACCTTCTGCTGCTGTGTACGGACATTACAGAAGCTGTCTTGTCCAGAGCCTGACTTTGCCTCCAGTTCCTGACACATCTTCTCACGTTTCAGCTGCAGCCCGATTAGCATGTAGAGGACACTGATGGTGAGCATGGGCAGAATGAAAAATAGCAAAGTGGTCACCTGGATGATGAGATTGTACATCCAGCGTGGTTTCACCAGTGTACAGATTGCAGAGTCTGGGATCTCCACAGTCATGTTCCCAGCAGGGCCTTTGGAATGCCTGTGAAGCATGATGATCCCATGCAGACTTGTGTTGGGTACAGCACACAACACAGACACACCCCACACTGTGAGAATGACCCGTTTGGCATGGGCGCGTGTCACAACATACTTTGCTCGCAGTGGGTGCACCACAGCAATGTAGCGCTCGACGCTCAGCGCTGTCACGTTGAGGATGGACGCTAAGCAGACTGTCTCAAATAGGAAGGTTTTAAAGTAGCAGCCTCCTTTCCCAAGGAGAAAGGGGTAGTTCTGCCACAGCTCATACAGCTCCAGTGGCATGCCGAGCAGCAGCACCAGCAGGTCTGACACTGCTAGACTGAATAGGTAGTAGTTTGTTGGTGTCCACATCACTTTGTTGCGTGCAATGACAGTGCATGTCAGCACATTCCCCACCACTCCTACCATGAAGATGATCAGGTAGATATGACAGACAGGGAGGAACACAGGTGATCGACGAGGACCCAGGTATTTCTCCAGATACTCTTCCTCTGTCAAACATGCATCATCCAGATCAATGTGGCTCCCATTCATGCCAAAGGTGAGATTGGTGCACTTTTCTCCCGGAGGACAAAGCCACCCACCTTTTTCAGCTAGTAGGTTAAAAGAGCAGTTGTATGTTGACATCCTGATGAATCTGTCAGATTTGCTATTGGAGGAAAAAAAAGCAGAAACATTCATATTAAATGCCAATTGAGAGCAAATGCTTTGAACAGACTCTTACAAGAATGGTTAGTAATGGCATTCATACAAAACTGAGTGGTAATTATAGTTGAATAGAAATCAGTTTTGTTGATCACTGCTAGTATGCATGTGTCATCAACAAATAAGGAAGACGCTTTTCCACATCTTGACATTCATCTTTTTCCATTAGGTTTCTGGATTAGTTCCCAAAACTCAGAATTATGTATATTAGCTATGACTGCTGTTTCTGCCAATGAGTTTTGAATTCACTTCTGACAGTGAACAGAAGACTGAGTTATTGAATGAGCTTGAATTGCCATCTGTTTCCTGCCCTTGTAGTAGAGTTCGAAATCTGGTAGAGTCTCTAATAGGGGTCACTGAACTCTCAAGTAAAGTTGAGAATCCTCAGAAACTTTGCCTTTGTGCTTCAATAAACAATGCAATTTTTTTTAAAACTAATTTGCAAAGTAACATCATCAGAGAGGTGTAGCTGATACAGTACCAGCAGATGCCATTCTATATTAAACCTTGTGTCAACACTAAGACAAAAACAGACTTGGGACTGTGTGCCCCCAAGACATGATAATGTGCAGTATCAAAGGTGTTACTCATACCAACAAACCCACAGACCTGGCTTTGCAGTTTCTCTCAGCTCAAGAGAGCATTTTAACCTTTTACTGATCATGGTTTTGAGCTCACAGCATAACTGTTTTGGTTCACTCAGTGCTCTCTTCTGTCGTTTTTCATTCAATCAATCAATACACTTTATTGTCATTGCATGCTGTACAATGTAATTTGCTCCTCCAGTGGTTCATGTAAGAACCTCACAGACAAAAATATGAATACATGTTAAAACCAATAGTTAAGATGAGTTAGATATAAATAAATAAATGTAAGAGAATGAATAGCAGTAGCTGACATTATTCCATTGTATTAGAATTGGAATATATTAAAAGCATTATGTAGATTACATGCTTACACAGGGTTCATCGGTTGTTACCTATTTTGTTGTTTAGCTCTCTGACAGCACTTGGGCTTTTCTGCATTCTGGAGGTGTGAGCTTTTGCCTTCCAGAAGGCAACAAAGTGAAGAGATGGTGCCTGTGGGCGCATCAAGTTCTGTAAATGTCCTCAAGTGTTGGTAACACTGAGCTAGTGATTTGTTGGGCTGATTTAATGACTTTCTTTACAGCTTTCCTATCTGCTACACTGCAGCTGGCAAACACACAAGCATCCTATAAGTTAGAATGCTTTCAATGGAACAGCGATCGAATGGTAGGAGTACTTTCTGGGATAGATTGACCTTTTTCAAAGCCCAGAGGAATTATAGGTGCTTTTGTGCCTTCTTTATGGCTGCAGTGGGAAGGTCTTTTGAGTGATAAAGCTTTAATAAAGCCATTGCACATTACCTGACCAGCACCAAACAACAGATGAACTCTGTGGATTTAGCAGATAAAGAACCAGATATTTTTCTGGAGGTTCTGGAGATACTGCTAGTTCACCTGAAGTTCCAGGAACTTTGTGAAAACTAATGTCCAGGAACATTTCCAGGAGTAAAAGTTCCTCTAGTGCATTGCGATTTGCATTTTTACAGTGAGGCCAGATCTCTGGGAAGTTGATCAAAACGAGTCTGCTGACATATCAAAGGCATGGTAGTTGGTCTTCACATCGTTTGTATTCTTATGAATTTTTTTTCAAAGCCTTGACCGCAGCTGATCCATTGCTGTAAATTTTCTTGGGCTGCTCCACTGTATTTACTGATGCCACAAACTACAAGCTAAACAACTTGTTTGCAGGTGCAGGTTTTTAACAGTGGCGTTACGTGCTGGTCTATTTCTTCACAAGGGCCATATTCCAGGCAACCAGTGTAGACTCCAAGAAGGTATTGCTCCAGGCTAAGGTTATACCCTTAATGGACAGTCATGACAGTGGTGTCAATATTCTCATCTCACTCCCAGCAGGAAAGAAAATAAGCAGGTTTCCCAAAATGTCAAACTAGTGTTTTCCTTTAAGGGCACCTTGCATTAACCATGAGGAAGTGCTAGTACTGCATTTTCACAACCTAGACCAAAGTAAACTTGCCAGTCTAGGGATCAAACAGGTGACCTTTCTCTAACATTTAGACCACTGCTTGAGCAGAATGTCCTTGAGAAGTACTATATTTGCTGTTCAAAGGAACTCACCTCAGAAAGCAATGACTCATTATATGTGGAACCTTTGGAGGCTTTCGAAGTTCTGGCTGAAGGCAACAAATATGGAAATAATTATAATCCTGGTTCAAGGGCTTTATAGGAGTTTGGATAAGATGAAAGTTAGCATGTGTCATGCTGATAATTCCATCACTAAATGACTGCATGAAATGGATATTTTTTATGTTCCATAAAGGAAATTATATCATGCTTTACAGAAAAATAATAGGATTTTGCTAGATTTCAATATGATGCAGTGACAGAGAAAAAATTAGGGATGCACCAATCAATCACCGGAGATTGGAAGTGGCCGGTTTTCAGCGTAATTGGCCAATGACTGATGACTGAGATTTCTGATTCTGTGCTGATCAGATTTGAAGGCACAGTCCAGTCCAGTGGCACAGACCAAAAGTGTAGCTTGTGCAGCATGTAGCATCTCTCATGCACCTTGAGTGAGGTTCGTATTTGTGTCTATATCAGATGCCTGTTCACTTGCACATCGGTCACAGTGGAGCCCGCAGAAACACCTTGGAGAAGGTAATACTATGGTCCAAATCTCTAACACATACTGTAGTCCACATGGGGATTATTGGCTACACGTGAAATGCATGTATATGCACAGTACATATACATGAAATGCATGTATATGTACTGTGCAGTGTATTCAACCCATGGTAAAACACAACAAATACAAACTACATACACTTCAAACTGTGTGCTCAGTAGGACCGATGTAACAAACATTCTACTGTTTTTGTTACCTGTTGCACCTACTTATATTTGGAGATGTACAAATAACGCACTTCATTTTTAGTTGCAGGTTTGTTAAAAAAAAAGTCAGAGAAAGACGGAAATGTAAAACAGTGTTTTACTTTTTATTACAATTCACAGTAATTTTTCATTTTAAAAAGTTAGAAAAATGTTTGCGTATGTTGTCAATTGCAGCTCTTAAACAGAAAGAAAATAGGAATTGGACAAAACTGGAATTGGCAGGTTAGACTTGAAAAAAATTGAAGGTATTGCTCCAGGCTAAGGTTATACCCTTAATGGACAGTCATGACAGTGGTGTCAATATTCTCATCTCACTCCCAGCAGGAAAGCAAATAAGCAGGTTTCCCAAAATGTCAAACTAGTGTTTTCCTTTAAGGGCACCTTGCATTAACCATGAGGAAGTGCTAGTACTGCATTTTCACAACCTAGACCAAAGTAAACTTGCCAGTCTAGGGATCAAACAGGTGACCTTTCTCTAACATTTAGACCACTGCTTGAGCAGAATGTCCTTGAGAAGTACTATATTTGCTGTTCAAAGGAACTCACCTCAGAAAGCAATGACTCATTATATGTGGAACCTTTGGAGGCTTTCGAAGTTCTGGCTGAAGGCAACAAATATGGAAATAATTATAATCCTGGTTCAAGGGCTTTATAGGAGTTTGGATAAGATGAAAGTTAGCATGTGTCATGCTGATAATTCCATCACTAAATGACTGCATGAAATGGATATTTTTTATGTTCCATAAAGGAAATTATATCATGCTTTACAGAAAAATAATAGGATTTTGCTAGATTTCAATATGATGCAGTGACAGAGAAAAAATTAGGGATGCACCAATCAATCACCGGAGATTGGAAGTGGCCGGTTTTCAGCGTAATTGGCCAATGACTGATGACTGAGATTTCTGATTCTGTGCTGATCAGATTTGAAGGCACAGTCCAGTCCAGTGGCACAGACCAAAAGTGTAGCTTGTGCAGCATGTAGCATCTCTCATGCACCTTGAGTGAGGTTCGTATTTGTGTCTATATCAGATGCCTGTTCACTTGCACATCGGTCACAGTGGAGCCCGCAGAAACACCTTGGAGAAGGTAATACTATGGTCCAAATCTCTAACACATACTGTAGTCCACATGGGGATTATTGGCTACACGTGAAATGCATGTATATGCACAGTACATATACATGAAATGCATGTATATGTACTGTGCAGTGTATTCAACCCATGGTAAAACACAACAAATACAAACTACATACACTTCAAACTGTGTGCTCAGTAGGACCGATGTAACAAACATTCTACTGTTTTTGTTACCTGTTGCACCTACTTATATTTGGAGATGTACAAATAACGCACTTCATTTTTAGTTGCAGGTTTGTTAAAAAAAAAGTCAGAGAAAGACGGAAATGTAAAACAGTGTTTTACTTTTTATTACAATTCACAGTAATTTTTCATTTTAAAAAGTTAGAAAAATGTTTGCGTATGTTGTCAATTGCAGCTCTTAAACAGAAAGAAAATAGGAATTGGACAAAACTGGAATTGGCAGGTTAGACTTGAAAAAAATTGGAAATCAGCCAAGAAAATTGCAATCGGTGCATCTCTAGAAAAAATTATTGCAGTCTTTCCCTTCTGTCATGCTGGATTTGTTTTAGGAGTAAAAGGAACTGGTCAGTCAGCTGAGTGTAAAAAAATGACAATATTTATGTTTTTCCAGGTGAGACTTGGATAATGAGAAAGAAGGATAAATGCTTTCCTTCCAGTTGCACATGAATAACTGTTGATGTTAGGAAAACACAGCAAAAATTTTTCTACACATTTCACTGTAGTGAGATAACTGCTTACCATAAGCTGTTTTCCAGGGGCTTTAAAGGGTCTGTGTTAGATTGCCTGGTGGCACAGATTGAAATACTTAAGGTTCTGGCAGTATATTATACTTTACTGATCCTCACAAAGAAATTCATCCCTTGCTTTTGAACAAAATGATTTCATGAACCACTACTGTGCTCAAAAAATAACTACATATTTTGTCTTTTTCCTACCAAAACGTATTGTACAGTACAATTTTTAAATATGCAACAGTTGTCTGTTATTTGCAATGTATGCAGTGAAATGCAGGACTTTCATAGTGGTTCTTTCTTCCTGTCTGCAGTATGCACCACAAGCATTATGCCTGTCTAGTGACTAAATTCTGCTTCAATACTGGGGTAACTACAAATTATAGCAGCAGCAGATTTGGCACTGCTTTAACAGCTTTCACTCCAAAACAAAAATATGTATCCAGTTTGTCACAGTTATCATCCCCAGAGGGCAGATATCTCTCCATGATTGTGTCACGACTAATCCAAGTCACAATTTCAAATCAGGTGGATCTGCCTTGAGAAAAGTCAACAGACCAAAATATTGTATTGTATCTTATTCTCTTTTTTGAATTGAAGTCAGCATAATACTGCTTCTTGTGAGAGCCAGGCTCACCACTCTACCCACAAGTCATTTTAAGCTATTATTTTAATAATATATAAAGCTCATCACTGAAGGCACTGATGTGAAAGAACATCTATTCAGTCTTTCTAAACATGCACAAGAGTTCAGCCCTCTTCATAATAAAAATAGCATTATGTTGTGTTTTTCCTGTCATCAGATTACTTTTTATTTGTACAGTTATTCATTTATATGTGGCATTGTTACAAAGTTAAAGGGAGTCTAGGAGAGATATACCATGCAGCAAAGGTCCAATTTGTGTTTAAACTCATTCGATTTCCACTGGTGCATACTGAGTAAGACTGTATGTACAAATGGACAGTCAGATTGTTTTTGGATTTCTAACAGAGGTGCTTTCTGTCTCATTCTTCTGCAGATTCTATACTTTAGTTAAATTTAGGTGATTTGATTTGAGGTCAGTTACTTTCTTCCTACTATCCAGTTACGCTGGACTCCCCTCATTGTCATTTGACAGTGACAAACTAGATACAAATTTAATTATTGCCACAAAGTTGTAGCCTAAACAAGTCCTGATTTGCTGGTTTCATGCACTAAAACTAAAGTAATAGAAGTAAGTAATAACATACAGTGTCTCTTAGATGAAGCATCAATAAACCATGCTATTTATTAGCAAAATATAGTATGTTTTTATAATTGCTGTAGATAATTACTGTATAATGAGTTGTTTTACTATGGTATATAGTAAGGTTGTTTCATCTGTTTCTAAAATTGACATTTGTTAAAATAATCCTGGTACTGAAAAAGACAGTTAAAAAAAGAAAAGTAAATTACATAAAAAATTGTAAGTTCATCAACTGGTTCTTTACATGAAAACATGACCAGAATCCTTTATATGTTTGCACGATGAAATGATTTTATAAATCTTCTTACCTCTAATGTGCTCCGTTGCTGTTCTTCCTCGGTGTAAACACAGATTAGTCCGGAGGAGTAGAGAGTGAGCAATGAGCTGCTATCTCAGTGTACTCTCCTGCTGATCTGTCACACTCTCTCCTCAAGCTTCACTTATGATCGTACACAAGTTGCACACAAACACACACACTCTCTCTCACTTTCACTCTCACTCTCTGTCTCTCACTCTGTCTCTCTTTTTGCTTCTCCCTGTCTCTTTCTTACAGTATAGTAACTCTACTGTTAATGGGTTAATCATATAAATGGTGTGCCTTGCATCATGGGACACCCCTAATTCACTGCTGACAACAAAGCTTCTCCTGCATCGGTACTGAACTTTCACTTCCAGTCTGAAAATCACTTAGTCTGCATTATTTTTTGCACATTCCTTTTGTGCCATGTGTAATGTGGTGTTTACTTTCTTGATATGGCATGGTTTTGAGATGTTTGGCGATCTTGTCTATTCTTCTTCTCTGCAGCTCTCCTGATTGAAAAGGTTATGCTTAGTAGTGTTGGTATCTACAACCCTTTCACGCCAATCCCAGAAAGACAATGAACTTTGTTAAAGTGATGACAACTGGTAGTCACAGGAGATGGACCGGCAGCCATCACCAACACATAGCCAGATCCACCTGGGGGATGTTCTTGAGCATTGCATTTTGCTGCACCTAATATAGATGACACAGGCATAATGGAGTGCTGTAGTAAACACTCAAGACAGGATGGGGCCTTGTTCAGCAGCTGTTGGACCAAATTGGCCTCTCCTCCCCTCATTAATCACACATATTACATGTGCTCCTGAAGGTATTTGAGGCGGTAATGACAACTCATGGCTGACCAGAGAATGAGTAGGAAGTGCCTAAATGCCATGGGGAAATTATTTTCAAGGCAGCTCATATTTACCTAATTTGCCTGGTGAACATAAGTCCTTTATGTCAGGCTCATTGCACAGGCCCCTGGTTAATGGGTCCACAGTTAATCACAATGACCCATATTTATCGTCCCCAGACAGACTGACTGGTGGAGAGATTTAACCAAACAAAGAAAGGTAGATGCTATCTCTAGGCTTCGAGAAAACTTAAAATTCACAGAAATACACTTGTTCAAAATGTGAGTACTCTGTCCAGAAATAAGACTGCCAGCAACTTCAAAAATGACCGGGAGTTCAAGATTCTGAAGTTCTTTTTTTCACCTTTTGACATTTCACAGGATCCAGTCAGTAAATAATAGTTTAGGACAAACAATTATAATGTTATCATTTTGAATAATTTGACCTTGGCACAAACAGTCGAATGTCAATGACACAGATCATTTCATAATTCCAGAGGAATATGGGTAGTAACGTGCAGGGTTTTGTTGATATGTAAATGCCGTTAGTGAGGATAAAGGAAGTTGCAAGGTGCAGTTACTTCTTATGTGATAACAAATGCTGCAATGTTATGTGATTATTTGTTCAGTGCCTGTAAACTTTCAGCCTTTATTTCTTGCTATAGCCTCCTTAATGAGACGCTCTCTTTCTTATTTTATTGTCCTCTTTCTTTCCTGCATAGCTCTCTCACAACAGATAGAAAAATGCAGATAATTAGTTTAGGCCTTTTGGGGTACAGAAAGCAGATCTCTTTACATATACAGTACATACAGTAACATATACTTTCTGACTGGCAGGCCCCAGACTGTCAGGATTGGCAATAGGATTTCAGCCATCACTGTTACAAACACTGGCACCCCACAGGGATGTGTCATCAGTTCCATCCTCTACACCCTGTTCACCCACGACTGTGTCGCCTCCCACAAAGACAACATCATCCTGAAGTTCGCGGACTACACCACAGTGATTGGTCGCATCACTGGCGGGGACGAAGCAGCCTACAGGAGGGAGGTGGCTGGTCTGGTGTCATGGTGCAAGGACAATAATCTCAGCCTCAACACAGACAAGACGAAGGAGATGATAGTGGACATGAGGAAGGAGAGGAGATCTCATCGGCCACTGTTCATCCGGGGGCTCGAAGTGGAGAGGGTGAGCAGCTTCAAATAC